AAGTTGATGAGATACACCATGCATGCCTGCACTATTAGCTGTAAGAAACATCTAACATGCGCGCATGGAGGTATTATACAATGTTCCAACGCTGGAGAATATTCGTAACGAGTCACGTGGAAATATGAGAGCAAACTAGATGTCTAGCCTGTCCTCAAATAAGGGCAGCTAATTTACATATCATCATAGAATGAATGCTTTGAATGTTACCTTACACGCGTAGCCGAGCAAGCTGTTATACGAGCCCCTTCCCACTTCAAGATTTGTACCAAATGCCTTTATAAAATAAACATGACGAAACTATTTACTTCTAAAACAATTTATTTTCTCAAAAACATTTTAGATACACTCTAGTAGTAAAAAATACATATTTGACCTATAACTAATAGAACATCTGAACAAATAAACAACGTGCGAATAAATGCGCGAAGTTAACAAAGCAACAATTGAAAGATTACCATTGGGTAACATCACCTTTATTTTTTATTACGACTGATATTCTTTGGGGCATAGTGTTAACCAAGTTTTGGCAAAAATTTGGTGTAAAACAATCCCATATTTCTTGAAGCTTTTGTCACAGTTCGTTGATTGTACGAGCAGGATGTTGTCGTAGAACCTTTTTCATCTCGTGCCACAAAATTTCAATAGGTGACAGATCTGGACTGCTAGAAACCCATTTCAAAAGTGGTACATTATTTTCTTCCATCCATTTTATAGCCTTTTTTTGAAATGAAGTTTTCCTACTCCTTTTGATGAAATATTGCCCCAGACCATAATGAATGCTGGAAATTTCACTTTTCTCTTCAGACAGTCAACAGGAGAATGCTTCATTTTTTTGCGAATAACTCTACTGCAACTGTCACCGACACAAACTTCGAATCGGGCTTCATCACTCCATTGTATTGCACACCATTGTTGAGGTGTCCTTTGTCTATGTTCTTTAGCCCATCTAAGCCGATTTTTCTTTTGCAGTGGAGTTAATAGTGGCTTTTCTTTGGCCTATAAACAAGTTGTGCAACGTTAGGGTTTTTACTTCACTTTTTTTATAAGAAAGCTTACCTTGCAAGTGCTAAATCCCAGTTTGTGGGCCTCTCTATGAGTTGTGGACCTCAAAATTCTCCTTCCAACAGCGTCACTCCACAGAGCACTTAATTGTAAATAATTGGCACGCCTGTTTTTCACGATTATTCTTCTTAATTCTCTTCGGTCGGCATTTGTGATATTACTTTTTTCCACATATCGTGGCTTAATATTAACTGAACCAGTTACGTTATATCTTCTAACAATATTTCTCACACTGTACCGCGATAAGTCTAACAAAGTTGCAATTTCTGAGTTTGATTTCCCAGAATTAAAAAATTTAATGCCCCACCGCATGTTCGTTGTGACATAACCGCATGGTTAAACAGACAACGATGGATTGGCAGAAACGGACCTGTACATTGGCCTGCGATGTCTCCTGATTTGAACCCCCTGGATTTCTTTTTTTGAGGCGCTTTTAAACAACTAGTATATGCCGAACAAATTAATACTGTTAATCAGTCACAAGAAATAATAGATAATGCGTTTTATCAAATTCAAGCCACAACGAATTTTGCGGAAATCCATTTTTCTTTATTAAAAAGATGCCGCACTTGTATTCGTCAGAATGGCGGTCTTTTTGAACATTTATTTAAATAAAGGTTTGATTATCTGTCTTTTTTATTTTTACGATAAGAATGAACAACACAAGAGTAATTATTTGTAGCATATTGAAGGTAAAAGCCGAAATATTGCGCGTTTAAAAAAACAGTGGCGTACTATACTATTCTTCCCCTGCTCAGACGGACGGGTCATCCCTTTGCCATTCGGCTAAGATGGCAGTGTGACCCTATACATGATTTATGAAGGCTCACCTGCCATGACTCCACAGTCGATGTGCACCTCGCTGCGAATCGCTAGATTCAACGGTGGGAGATATATCAAAACTTTCATTGCACTCAATGGTTTTGTCCGCAGTGCGCTTGTAGTACTGGTACAAGCCGAACGCTGAATTTTATTGAGATTAGCCTTAATTGTCTCGATTGCAATGCAAGACCACCTGTATTATATTTATCTGTTTCGGGCTTTTGCGCCATTAGTAACACAACTTGATTTCAGGATTATTACCTTTATTCTGTCTAAAAATGTATATATTGATAGGTACTGCCATGACCGCCCATGTTTGGTTTACAGGTTGTGCAGGATCAAAAATGCTGAAAACATGCCAATCCGTTAGTGACACGAGCTCTGCCTTTTTTCATCATACTGGCAGCACTTCGATCAGTTTCTAGTAACGCAACTTGATTTTAGGATGATTAACTTTATTCTGTCTAAAAATGTATACAGTGGATCCCCGATAATCCGGCCACTGTCTAATCCGGCGCCCCCTGCACTCCAACATGTCTTTGAATATGTATTACATACATACGTATTTGACAATCTTCGCTAATGTAGATCACACAGGTTTGAAAAGGTTACAACTTGTACGCGCCACCGCTATCGTGCTCGACTTGTAAGCATTGTTTTGCTTAGTTTGGATTTGACTATTTGTGATAGCGGTACGGCCTAGGGTGCGTTCATTGTCTACTATTTATTAATTGTGTATTAAGTATAGTACCTAGTAATGTCATCACAAACTCAGAAGCGAAAGCACAAAACATTGACAATTAAAGAAAAATGTGATATTTTAGACCGCTTAAATCGCAATGAAACTTTCAGTAGTTTAGCAAGTGAATACGGCGTAGGCCGATCTCCAATTTATGACATTAAAAAAACCACGAGAAGATCAAGAAGTTCCTGTCAACTACTGACTGCGGGCCAGGCAAAAGACAGACACTCAAGAAAGCTGAACATCCAGAAGTGGAAGAAGCTTTGTATATGTGGTTTCTTCAGGAAAGAAATAGGCATGCACCAATTTCAGGACTCTTGTTGGCCATGAAAGCTAAATTTTTTTATAAGGAAATAAAAAAAGATGAATTTGTGGCCAGCAAAGGATGGCTAGAACGTTTTGAAAGTCGTCACGGCATACGTTTAATGACTATTACAGGAGAGAAACTTTCTAACGATGCCACCTGCATAGAGCCCTTTAAATTAAGATTTTTGCAAAAAGTGAACGATTTAAATCTTGACCCGTCACAGGTGTACAATGCAGACAAATCAGGGCTTTTTTGGCGTGTGATGCGGAACAAAACTTTCGTTTCTTGTAACGAAAAATGATACTTAAGATGATGGTCATTTTGAAATCTAATAAACATTGATTTACCTGTACGCTATTACGGACAAAAAAGTGCATGGATGACAAAAGACCTTTTCAAAAAGTGGTTTGATAAATGCTTCGTACCTGAAGTTAGAAAATGGTTAAAAGATCATAATTTTCTTCAAAATGCGTTGTTGCTTCTTGATAACGCTCCCGGTCATCCGTCTGAAGAAGAACTAACAACTGAGGATAAAGGCATCACTGCGATGTTTCTTCCGCCAAATTGCACTGCACTGATTCAACCAATGGACCAGAATATCATTCACTTTGACAAGTAAGACTATAAGAAAAACCTACTTCTGAGAGCCGTATCAAAAGACCAACCAATAGAAAAAACTTTAAAAGAATTTAATATGAAAGACTTGGGTTTTGCTCTTTGTCAGTCGTGAAATGCGTTACCCTTATCAAGTATTAAATCGTCTTGGAAAAACTTATGGCCAGATATAGTCACTCTCCTAGCAACGTTCCACAAATCAGTGTTACTTCGGAAGTTATAGAACAAGTCGCTACTGAAACACAGATAAGTCCGGAAGATTGGGAAATCTGGTGCCGTGGAATGGATAAACAGGAAAATGTTTTTCATGAAATGTCTGATGAAGAGATTATAAAAGAGGTTTCTAATTATACAACAAACAATCAGGAAAATCACAACGACGTGATTGCAACTGCTCCACAAGTCACAGCCCAAGACGCAATTAACGCCTACGAGCTAGGTTTACAGTTGGCTGAAGAGAATGGTACATCCTACAACGAACTTGTACTTTTGAGAAGACTGAGAGACAAAGCTCTGTTCTCGCGTTATAACAACCTTAAACAAAAAAAATTGATGAATATTTCCAAGCTTCATAATTTGATAAATTCATTAATGATTTTGATTAATAATTCTTGATTATTTTGGTACATATGTATGTTCATTTATGCTTAATTTTATAATAAAACGTAAGCTCTCTATTGTTATTTAATTTACTAAATTCGACATACATGAACTATGTATGATTTGTACTTCAAGTACATACATATACATAACATATATAATCTTACCATTGGACATGTAATTTGTCGGATTACAAGGTACTCTTTTGTAAAAAATTCCGGACTATAGGGGGTCTTAGGCAGTGCTCTATAATCCGACAAATTCCCTGCATAATGTTTGTCGGATTACCGCAGGTCCACTGTATATTGAAACGTATTGCAAGGTACCTCGGTCATTCCTCTGCCTAGCGCAGCATTTCCAGTGAATTATATTACTTGAAATACCTAACAAGTTTCTAATAACAATACATTATACAGTATGATCTTACCATACCACACACCAAACCAAGGGGCCATACAAAAGAGGTGGACGTACTGTCGTCGTTTAGCGCACTTTAGGTTTAAGTCCCCACCTTACTCCGATAACACGTCTGCAAGCTCCTATTCGGTGCATTGAACGGCGAGGTATGGGGAAAGGGGTGACGTAGCCAGATGGACAATACTATCGGAATAGACTAATTGTGCGGGCGTTTAGGTCACTTGATCCGTTTAACCTCTGATCTATATTCTGGTGCCTAACTTGTATCGAACATAATCCTTTATGAACTGAATACAGCGTTGCATGGGAAGTGCAGAGTTAGCTTGCTTCACGCTATTTTTTACCCTTCACATAACACATGATCCGTTAGGCGTGATGTAAAATTAATATTTGCAGCTTCGTATTTGGATTGTTCGACTATTCTTGTTTCAGACTGATAGAATTTGGGGATACGCCAAGCAGCGCCCTTACGCTAGAAGAGTTCATGACTGTTGACCTTGAAGAAGAACAAGATCCGCCGTCTTTCAAGGTAGCTCGAAAAAAAGACAAGGAACGCTTGCAAAAGGTAGAACTATAATAATGAAACGTTTGTATTTATTGATAAAAACGTTTTTTTGCAGTTATTAGAAGAAGAGGCAGAGTCGCTCACTGAATTGCAGAAGCAGATAGAGCTGCAGTTAGAGAAGGATGGTCAAAGAAGGAAATTGTCTCAGTGTAAGTTTTTATTTTCGTATCCGAGAAACTATCCCATTTTTTTGACTACGCGTTAAAGCTGAAGGTTCTGTGAAATAATTGAATCCTTCTAAAAAAACCTGACTACACAAGAGATATTATAGTAGAATACCAAAATTGATGACAGTAGCGAAACTCATCGTACGCCACTGCTATTACGCGGAGGCCTTCGGGAATGCGGCGCTTCTTTGGAAAATGTCGGTAAACGTCGCTGTATTCAAAAGGTACAGCGTCAAAGCAGAGACGCACGATGACTTATATATATATATATATATATATATATATATATATATATATATATATATATAGGTGAAAAATTAAAGCTTCCGCCTTTTGTTGGGTACTTCGACAAAATTTAAGCAAAGAGGACTATTTATACTTTTTTTAATTCTCTCTAGCTTTCAATGGACTTTGCCATCATCATCAGGAGCTGCAATTACAATGATAACAGTAGCAACAAAAGTGTAAAATGAATTTAAATTGAATCAACTTACAGTAGTATGTGAGGATGTTGCTAATTGTTGTTTTCGTATAGGATGAGGGAAACGTCCAGTAACATGGTGAGAGCTGGATACATGATACAATGGTTAAAATTATATAAAATATGACAAGACAAGTTAAAGACAGATTAAAAATTATTTAGAAAACATTAGAGCATTACGTCGTGAAGCCACTTGATGATTGCACAAAATGGTGGTCATGGAATAATGAGTGAGATGAACCTTTGACAGAAGGCCGAAGGTTGTCAATGTCTGTGTTGAAAGATGGAACGAATTGTGGGCGTGTGAAAAAACGTTGCCAAATCACTTCAGATGATGTGATTTTCAGAATGTTATGTAAGAAATTGTTAAACCGACCAGAAGCAGTTGAATAACCTATATTTTAATTAATCAGTTAATATTAAGCCACGATATGTGAAAAAAAGTAATATCACAAATGCCGACCGAAGAGCATTAAGAAGAATAATCGTGAAAAGCAGGTGTGCCTATTATTTACAATTAAGTGCTCTGTGGAGTGACGCTGTTGGAACAAAATGATAAACAAACCATAGTAGTGAAGAATGCGTTTGTTTCGTTTTCGATGCGCCACCCTGTATATTAACACAATGACTTGTTCATCCTATAGAAAATAAAAGAACGATAAAACTGTAAACTCAGCAATAGAAAAAAAAACACTTTAGTTATGACACATGAGGGCCCTAACGGATGTATCCCTTAATCTGTTGGAAGGTTCAGTAATTGTTAGTGCAACCCTATAAAATTCTCTTTCAATGGACGCTGATGTTTCAGGTGACGAAAAAATGTCTTCCCATTAAAAATAGATTTGTGAATACATTTTCATGTCTTTTCCAAGACTCTTGATTATTTGCATTAAAATACAAAATACGGCTCATCGATGGTACAAATAAATTTCACTGAAGCCCTTTAGTAGAACAAAAATATAATTTAGCATCAAGTATCAAGTAATTTGGTAATGCATGACAAGTAAAACAATAAAAAAATTAAGTCAATCCAAGCATTAACGTTTCAAGTAATTTTATTGTCAAGTATTTTAAAAAAATCCCTAAATACTAAATTAAAGAATTAAAATTTAAAAAATAAAGTTCGTTTGTTTTATGAACAGACCTCGTGTAAGTAACGATAAATATACTCGGCCAGTATTACCGCTTCTTAACAAGTAGAGCGAACACTTGGCATTTCTTCCGGGGAAAATTCTCTCGCGTTAAAGAATACAAAAGCCCCCGGGCGATTCAAACTAGGAAGCATACATCACACTCTTGCATATCAGACCGCTATAATGCTATAAATAATTTATAAAAATAGTTTCCAGCAAGACGGTAGTATCCAAGGCAAGGTCGACATATTGCCATAAGAATACCAAATGAAATGTCGTTCGCTGCAGCATGGTTATATTCTATAGAATGCAAGGTTACTTTTCTAAGGCAATGGGTTCTTAACGTCGTTTTTTCATCAGCCTGTCTGGGGAAGTATTCCTAGTACTTTTCGGCTGGTTAGTTCATGGTGTGTATAGATATCACTGAAAAACAATGCCATCTGTTTCTTTTTTGTCAAATAAACATTTTTAAGCCTTCTCTCTTCAATCGCCACTTGTTAACAAACAATAGTACAGCTCTAAAATTGTATGTGAATTTCCACTTTTATGGAAGAATTGATTTGGTGGTTACTTTTTTCTTATCACTACCACTCTTCAGGTTTTAATAAAACCAAAGGTTTTTTGAGGAGAAAAAGTGATAAGAGGTAGCCCAGTAAATGAGTTTTTGGAACTGTCATTTTTTCGAGCCATCTGATTGATAAAATAGTTTTTTGAGTCATTTACCACGCCTGATGATTAATGAAAATTACACAAGATGTAGAAACAAGGCTGAACTTTATTGTGAATGTATCAAAATTGCTCCAAAAAAGTTGTCTTGCGGAATAATATATTTTGAAGTGGGCAAACATTTTTTTTAAGGTTAAGTGCTATTTTAGGGCATACATATACTAAGTGACATATAAATCCGAACACCCAGTTTAAATGGTTTTATTTTAATAAAATTTTGTATAAGTACTTAATGAAGCATAATAAGTAAATGATAAAAATTTCAAAATGATTGCACTGCTTTAAAGCCCTTTGACCTTTAATAATGTGTGGATGCACCCTGATGTGCTACGCATTCTACAACGCGCCTAGGCATGCTTCTGATCAGGTGGTCAATGTCCTCCTGTGGTATCTCATTCCAGGCAACCACCAACTCCTCTCGAAGTGCTTCTAGAGTCTGAGGAGGACGTTGCAAATTGAGCAATCTCCTACCCATCATATCCCACACGTGCTCAGTTGGGGATAAGTCGGGAGATCTTGGTGGCCATGGTAACAATGTGACATCATTATGTTGAAATAAGTCTATTGTGATTCTTGCAACATGTGGTCGGGCATTATCTTGTTGGAAAGTTGTATCTGCCAGGGTGTCAAGATAGGGTAAAAGATGGGGTTCTCGAACTTCGTGGATATAACGCTGCGCGTTCAAGTTACCTCTGATGAAGATTAAAGGTGACCTGGAACCATAAGCTATAGCACCCCAAACCATAACTCCAACAATGTGATCAACATGTCTTTCAACAAAAAACTGTGGATTCCTTCTTTCACCACGTCGCGTTCTAACCCTGGCACGACCATCGCGCATGCCTAAACAAAATCGAGACTCGTCACTAAAGACAATACTGTTCCATTCCTTATCCCAGAGTGACCGTTGTCTGCACCACTCAAGGCGATTACGTCGGTGTTCTCGAGTTAAAGGGAGGACCCAGTGTGGCCGGTATGAAAACAAGCCAAAACTTCTCATTCGTCGGTAAACACTTCGCATGCCAATAGGTCTTCCGTGTTCTGCAAACCATTCATTTGCAATGGACCTGGTAGTGGAGAAACGGTCCCTTAAGGCCAATAATCTTAGGCGGCGATCTTCACGGTCTGTTGTTCTACGGCGGCGTCCAGTGCCCCTTGCTCTTTGCGTACGGCCTTCTCGAACCAATGCCTGACAACACCTAACCACAGTGTCTACGCTTCTTTGCACTCTAACTGCAATTGCCCGAAAAGAAAGTCCAGCTTCCCGAAGTCCCACTATACGGCCCCTATCAAACTCACTAAGTTGACGAAATCGTACAGGTCTCCGTACTCTAGGCATCGTGACCGATCGTAAAGGATGTCAAGAACCAAAATCCGCCAACGTTGATTCTTTACTGCGGCTGAAATATTCATTTTTAGAGCGTTAGTGAATTAAAAAAAGCAGTATAAAAACCAGAATGTCCAACTGATAAGGCTGAAAATTTTTCCACTTGTTATTTACAGTAAGATAAATACATTCACCAACTTTTATTAAAATAAAACCATTTAAACTGGGTGTTCGGATTTATATGTCACTTAGTATATTTTCAAAATCATCATACCGAGAAACCCTTGTAGACTTTTATTTCCCACTCGTGGTAGAATAATCGTAGAAAAACGCAATTATCTATTTCTTAGGAAAGAAGATATAATCATAACAAAGTTCGACTTTTTTTGGTCGAGCAAAGTTTTTATGCATTCATCAATATCTTGACTGGAAGTTAATATAAAACGTTAATAATAACAGCATGTCGTATTGTTTGAATAATAATTATATTTTATAGAAAAATACAGAAAATGTCACAATTTTTTTAATGTATATAGTATGGCCAAATGTCATTAAAGCAGCGTCAAAATATAAAGAACCTCTACTGCTCCTCCTATTGGCTCATTGTTGCGTGCCCAGCCTGCTGGCATAGGAACACAAGAATTAGATGATAGAGAGGCATAACGCGATTTAAGTAAGATTCGAATAGGTTTTATCAATGCCCCGAAATGAGATTTCCCGGCCTTCAAAAATAATGTTACAATCCCCTCATCCTAGATATCTGAGTTGAAGCCTGACCAGTTCATAGACCAATCGATTGTATATTTTCCTAACACTAAATAGCCATCTTTCCATAACAAGCATTGTACTCAACTACCAATGGACTAATGAGAGCTCTAAGGAAATTATCTTTTACAGGAAAAGTAAAGGAAAGGCAAAAAAAAAAGATAAAAATGTACTAAAGCTAAAAAAGTTATCCCTTGTTCTAAAAAAAAATATGGCAGCTCATAAATCAAAATCATGATCAGTGTAAGCCCAAAAGAAGGTGACATGTAGGCACTGCTCCATATTTGCATACGTAAAATGCCAAACAAAATCAAAGACACTCTAATAATTTCAGTCAGCAATAATTAATATACACCTTAGGAAAAACCATTGTTATACATGGGAAATCATTTCTTGGCAACAGCGCATCGCCTCGTCTACTTTCATCGCTATTCGTACATATTTCCTACCGTTAACCGCAGACCTGTATCACGAATGAGAATAATAGGCAGATACGCTGTGTTGCCAATTTGAGTAGAGCTTCCCGAATTGTGGGGAATTTAGAGTTAAGTGGTGATTCATTCAAGCTTTTAATCAGCATAGCCTAGACGTTAGAACTTCATAAAGATAACATTGAAGCTGAATGCTGCTGGAGTATAGTGTTTCGAATATTCAAAGCGGAGCGGGACACTATACTCGTTCAATGGGTCATCAAGCCACAGTCTTTTCAACAAAGAAATTATTTAACGAAAATGCGTTATATTTTTACGATTTTGTCGTCACCAAATCTCTGTTTCTCAAAATGTACGTCTATTGTAGAATTTTCAGCAAACTAAGCAAGAAACGTGATCTAGTATTTACTCAACATTACGGATTTCTCGAAATACATTAAAAAATGTGACCTAGATACCTAACTGCCCCAAGCTCTTTAAATATAACACCTTAAACCAGGGTTACCAGGTGCTCAGTCACGTTGATTGTCATGTTGTACTGCGCAAGTCAGCAAACAATCTGGCGTAATAAACGTTAGGAATCATCAGGTATTGCCAGATTCCCGAATACCGGGCACCATAGTAACCGTTATAGTTGTCCTTCAAAGTTGTCAAATCGCCCCTATGGCGCAAATTCGCCACACCAGGCAATTGTGCTATAAACAAACCCTGTTTATCACTACTATTTGATAGTCATATGGTAGTTGTAGCCCTATCTAGCGGTCCATGATTTCTCTTAATACTGTTGTATCTCTACTGGCAACAACAATAGGGATTACAAAATCATTTATACAACAATATACAAACATGAAAAATATGATTTGAACCATGAAACATTAATACAATTTTAATAGTTTGAACTTTTTTCATTTTTGGAATACTCTTATGTGGAATCCGCAGCTATTTTTCCCGAAATTTGGGTAGACTTAGATTTCTTAGAAATATGACATATTGGTATCGGCAACTCTGCGAATGGGAGAAACAAATCGCATTTGTTGAGCGCATCCGTCTAAGCGGTAGCCGCCAGCGCCCGTTCTGCCATCTCTCTCTTTTATCACTCTTCTACTTTACCCCGTTGTCCGTCACACTCGGACGCTGCCAGATAAGATCCTACAATCGAGTGTCTTTCACGCACCTACATACTTTTGTATATTTCCATCTCTCTTCCTCATCATAATGTATAATACTGGTTTTTCCAATACTGTATAAATATCTATAACATACCCAATTAAAATGATATTTTATCTGTTCAAATCATGTTTTTTACCGCTGAGGGTTAAAATCCCATAAGAAAATGGACGGGGTAGCACCCAAAACCAAAACAACTATACGTAAGGTGCAAAATAAAAGTGTGCTACTGAATAAACTGGTGTATGGGGGTCTAATATCCCAGGATCTGGAAGTTAGCGAAACGATGCCCACACCACAATCTCAGTTGGTAAGTGAATGACGCGGAATACCTAACTTTTTAAAAGAAGGTTAAATGAGTGGCCTTGAAGAAGGTATGTGCGATAGGAAACCAAAAGAAACGGAGGAAAACCGGTAAAGAAGGTATCTTGATAGGAAACCAAATATGATTATATAGGTTAGTACGTAGAGAAATCACAAAGTGGCGCTGATTGCCAATGGGCAGACCTTAGAAAACCAACTCTACGAGAGACCAATGATGGTTTTTGAGTAAATTTCTGAGATAGTCGTTAATAATACTATAATATTAGTGTCTAAAAGATTTCAACAGAATAGTGAGTTGCTGAGCAAGAAAAATATAATACGTGTGAAATTATAAAATCAATAAAGTATGATATTTGCCAAAAGAAAATCACTAAGAAGGGTTTGGCTTATAAATCGGCACTCTACCATTAATAAAGAGAAATTCAAATTACTAGTAAGTGATCAAAATAGTAAAAAAAAGGCTACGTGATTTTGGCACGTTACAAATTATAGGTGTGATCAATAGTAAAAATGATTTGTTTTACCTTTTTTTCAGCTTGCAGAGGAAAGATCGAAGAGGAGCAAGACACAAACAAATTCATCAAAGAATCAACTTTCGGCGTAGTGAGGGATATTATGGGAGAGAGCGTTGATGATCCTGAGGAAGAGATGATCTTAGGTTTAGGTGAGTTATTCATATTACGAGCCCCTTCCCACTTCAGTTGGCCCACTTCAAGGTTTGTACCAAAATATTTTTTTTACTTCTAAAACAATGTATTTTCTCAAAAACATTTTAGATACACTCTAGTCGTAAAAAATACATATTTGAAATCACTTAGACCTATAACTAATAGAACATCTGAACAAATAAACAATCTGCGAATAAATGCGCGAAGTTAACAAAGCAACAATTGAAAGATTACCATTGGGTAACATCACCTTTATTTTTTATTACGGCTGATATTCTTTGGGGCATAGTGTTAACCAAGTTTTGGCAAAAATTTGGTGTAAAACAATCCCATATTTCTTGAAGGTTTTGTCTCAGTTCGGTGATTGTACGAGCAGGATGTTGTCGTAGAACCTTTTTCATCTCGTGCCACAAAGTTTCAATAGGTGACAGATCTGGACTGCTAGAAACCCATTTCAAAAGTGGTACATTATTTTCTTCCATCCATTTTATAGCATTTTTTGAGGTATGGCACGCAGCAGCATCTTGCTGAAACACAAAATCTTGGTCGGATGTCAAACATTCTTCCATCACTGGTAAAAGCGATTCTTCTAAAATTGCCAAATATTTGTTTGTATCCACATTTCCATCAATACAATGAAGTTTTTCTACTCCATTTGATGACATACTGCCCCAGACCATAATGGATGCTGGAAATTTGACTTTTCTCTTCAGACAGACAACATGGAATGCTTCATTTTTGTGCGAATAACTCTACTGCGACCAACACAAACTTCGAATCGGGCCTCATCACTCCACTGTATTGTACACCATTGTTGAGGTGTCCATTGTCTATGTTCTTTAGCCCATCTAAGCCGATTTTTCTTTTGCAGTGGAGTTAATAGTGGCTTTTTTTGGCCTATAAACAAGTTGTGCAACTTTAGGGTTTTTACTTCACTTTTTTTATAAGAAAACTTACCTTGCAAGTGCTAAATCCCAGTTTGTGGGCCTGTCTATGAGTTTTGGACCTCGAAATTCTCCTTCCAACAGCGTCACTCCATAGAGCACTTAATTGTAAATAATTGGCATGCCTGTTTTTCACGATTTTCTTAATGCTCGCCGGTCCGCATTTGTGATATTACTTTTTTTCACATATTGTGGCTTAATATTAACTGAACCAGTTACGTTATATCTTCTAACAATATTTCTCACACTGTACCGCGATAAGTCTAACAAAGTTGCAATTTCTGAGTTTGATTTCCCAGAATTAAAAAATTTAATCATCAGTAACCGAATTTTCTCACTAATAACTTTTCCTCTACCCATTTTGAAAACCTTAACTACCCCAAACTATTTTAAACGTATTCTGACAGCTGTGATTAATAAAAACAATTGTCATGGCTTTTATTTTTCACAGCCACCTATATAGTTATAGACTTAATTTGCATTAAAATGAAAATAGGTTGATATGCTGTTATTGCAACATGTGTTATTTTTATGCTGCAAATTTGATTAGGGAAAGATAAAGTTGGTGTTTTCTACTATATATTATCAAGATATTCATTGTTAATATTTTAAACCTATAACACCCTGATACATTTTCATTATTTGTGTTTGCTAAAAAAAACTGAGATTTCAGTAGTTGGGCCAACTGAAGTGGGAAGGGGCTCGTATATGTTATATACTACCAGTTGTTCCAACCCGGTTTAACCGAAGTTCAACTTTGAACCTCGTTCAATGGAAAATTAGTGTTGTACCATACAGGTTCGGACATACTATAGCCGTTTAAACTTCGGTCAAGTTGACCGAGGGAGGTACTTCCGTTTAACGTCAGTTCATGCTAGATTTTCATAGCTTTATTATAATCGGTGCAAAATTGACTTGTGATTATGATTATGTGATAAAAGTCAAGTTGTAGGAGACTAATTTTTATTGACAGGCAGATTTTCAGACTCTAGTTAAAATACGAGTATATGTATAGGGTTGTCCAATAGGGACGCAGGAAAGTAAACGTCAATTTGACATAGACGCCATCTTTCTTTCTGTCACCGACATGTCATTTTGTTAGTTGAATGTGTACCATTGATCGCTATGGAGTCGTATTCGATTGAAGACCGCATTAAAGTTATTCAAGAGCACTACAAAAATGGTGCAAAAATAAAAAACACGTTTCGCGCGCTTCGTGAACATTTCGGTCGCAACAACCGCCCAAACGAAACAACCATCGACCGTCTGGTGCGTAAATTCGAGGCAACAGGTTCTGTGGCAAATCTGCCAGGCTCTGGCCGGCCAAGGAGCGTTCGCACACCGGAAAATATTGCTGTTGTGAAGGAGAGTGTGAGAGACGATCCGAAACAATCAACAACGCGTCGATCCCAAGAATTGGACATTTCGAGAACCAGTTTCCACAAGGATTTGAATGTACACGCTTACAAGATCCAATTGACGCAAGAGCTGCGTCGGGCCGACCATTTTTCGCGCCGAACGTTCTCAGATTGGCTCCTTGAACACCGCCAAATTGATGCCAATTTTTCATCAAAAATCATGTTCAGCGACGAAGCGCATTTCACTTTGAATGGGACGGTAAACAAGCAAAACTGCCGCATCTGGGCGAACGAAAATCCCCGTGAGTATCAAGAGCAGCGATGCATCCTCAAAAAGTGACTGTGTGGTGTGCATTGTGGTCAAAAGGCATCATCGGACCTTACTTTTTCGAAAATGCGGCAGGGGACGCCGTTACCGTCAATTCTGAGCGATATCACGTGATGATAGAGGACTATTTTTTGCCGCAACTTGAAGGAATGGATATGAACGATGTTTATTTCCAACAAGACGGTGCAACATGCCACACAACCAACGTCAATATCCATCGATTGCAGTCCTTCTTCGGTGATCGCGTGATTTCGCGCAGAGGAAATGTGCCATGGCCACCAAGATCGTGCGATTTGACTCCCTTGGACTTCTTTTTATGGGGATATTTGAAAAGCAAAGCCTACATCAACAAACCAGTCACCCTCCAAGAACTCAAAAACAACATCATTGCCGAGATAAATGCCATAGAACCGACCATGTTGCAAAATGTCACTGAAAATTTCGACCATCGCGTGGACGTCTGTAAATCCAATCGTGGTGAACATTTGAGCAATATTATTTTTCATACATAAATGGTATGAATGAACCTTCAAAATAAAGTACCCAACTTGATTTGAATATCAATCTTTCTTGTTTTAATATGCGTTTACTTTCCTGCGTCCATTTTGGACAACCCCATATAAGCAGGCTGGTTAGAAGATCACTCTAGGAGTGATTTACGATGAAAGTTTAAGGGAACACCAACAACTCAATTTGCAATATTTAAAGTTTGAATTTAATAGTAAAAATTGATAATTTTAAGAACCCCGACTTATACAATGCTAATTCATAGATGCAAGACGTAGAATTATGTTTCTTTTTTTATTTATTGGCTTTGGGACTGTGGTCCATGCAGCCATTCACTGGGATTAATATTTAACGAATTGATATCATTAATATTACTGGTTGTACGCATCTGTTTGTATATGTATTTTAAAAACCTCACATAAATACACCGCCACGCAAAATTAACCGGACAAACAAAATTTTGTTCAAATTAAAATTTAAATAACTTTTTAACCTTTATATCAATTTCTATAATTTTTCCGTCAAGTTGTACGTAATTTCATTGCCATCATTATCGCCTGTCGATCTTGTATAAAATTGAAAATGTTTGTTGCTATACCGGGTGTAATTAAAGGTGCATTTTGCCCTAAATTTCTAAATACCCTGTGGAAACATTGGATTACTGAATAATGTGTCTTCGTATGAGAATCTTAAGCTTCAACTTTTCTCAACAGTTCTTTTTTTGATTTATGTCAATATCTCAATTGTTGAAGAATATATGCTGTTTTAAAGAAAATCATACGAATCATAGCCAAGTGTCTATTAGCATGATTATGGCATGTCAAAAAGATTCTTGGCAAGCAATACTCAAAAAAAATGACACCGGAACATGTAGCGCAAGCTGTAGCTTTACAAGATGATGGTCGTCCTATTCGGTATATCGCAGAAAGGTTTGCCGTTCCACGCAGTACGGTATTCGATGCGATACAAAGATTTAGATAAACTGGTGCTTACTCAAGAAGGCCTGGCAGGGAAGACGGAAAGCAACAAACGCAATTGAAGATCGGTTTCTGAGACTTCAAGCTCTTCGAGAAGGGACAGTTCCTGCTACAGTTTTGACTCGAAGATTGGATGATGTTCTTGGTATACTTTATCTGAAGTCACTTGAAACACTGGGAAAACCGGGTGCGTTTTATAGTATATCTATATTTAACACGCTCTGTTGCTGCAAAAATCGCCAAATTTCGCAGCAAATATCCCCCGTATAAGAGATCAAAGGCAGTTTCACCGGTCCACGTGGAGTAAAGCACGCCTATGCGTGGACATAGCCAATGAGAAAGCGTGTATTTCAGAGCTCGGAACAAGTGCAGGTGGCTACTGAAAATTGAAACAGTTTAGCCAGTGTCGTGTAGCGGTGAATAAACGTGTTTTCTTTAGTCTGTCCGTGTTTTTTCATAGATTTTATAAGTTTGTGTTTTTGATTTTTGAATACTCAGTTTACTTGTTGATTTAATTGTTGTGTTGATTGTTCTTGTGTGTCCTAAATATGGCTCTTTGGAGACCTTGGGAAAATGCTCCAAGCCACGATGAGATGGTTGATGAACCTGTGCAGGCAGAATTCTTTCATAAAGATTTAGAGGAACAGACCCAAAGAGTAATCCTAAATATGTATGATTGTCTGAAAAACGAAAATCCAGATTCCTCGCAAAATCAAATTTTAAACAGAATTTGTATCCTGACAAAAATCAGTCGGTCTACCATTTATCGGGTTATAAAAAGGGGAGATGTAGTCAACCATTCCTTCCACAGAAAGCGCATAGGGCAAAAATTAAAAAGAATAGACGTGGGTTTTCAGGAAGATATTCGTCGTATAATATACGGATTTTATAAAGAAAATTTGGTGCCCACGTTGGAAATGATACGGGATAAATTAAAAGATTATCCTGAAGATTTTTATAATTAC